AAAACTAGTTCATCCACTTGGACGAGTTCATCCACTTGGACGAGTTCATCCCCTTGGACGAGTTCATCCACTTGGACGAGTTCATCCACTTGGACGAGTTCATCCACTTGGACGAGTTCATCCACTGGGACGAGTTCATCCACTTGGACGAGTTCATCCACTTGGACGAGTTCATCCACTTGGACGAGTTCATCCACTTGGACGAGTTCATCCACTTGGACGCTGACCATGCTTTTGCAGGTCAGCGTTCAATTTCGTATGGTACAAGTAGTTGGTTGTCATTCCTTAACTGTCCTTATTTCTGCTTCTTAATTTCTACTTCTTAATTTCTACTTCTGTCCTCTTATTCCTTGCAAGTTCTATATAGTTGTACTGGCTTAGTGTTTTCTCCTGATGATTATCTTACATTACCATAAAACTAATTTGTCACATAAAGATAGTGTTATCAGATGATGCGTGCAGAGTATCCACTAAATTGTCTAGTTTGCTGCCGACAGCTAACAGCGTTCGCTTAGTGATGTGCGATTAATAAAAGATATATATTTTGTGTGCATGTTTGATTAAATACAGTATTGGTTTTATGGAAAATGTGTCTTTGTAATGTACTTGTTATTTTTAATAGGCTTATTTACAAAAAGTATATTTCATATACAATATATACAATATAATACTTTAGTTCTAAGTGGTTCTCAACTGTTTTCCTTTTATCTGTCCCCTTGATATGTTTAGCATATACTGTATATGCTAAAGTTTGGGTTGCTTTCCAAAAATATGTTTTGCACAAACGCCAAAGCATCAGTATTTTAAGAATTATTGTATACCCCAAAGATTCCTCCTTGTGTACGCATCTCCAAGGTTGAGAACCTCTGCCTAAGTAGCAAACTTGTAAGTCATGTACAAAGATGGTATGCCAAATGTATTGATTATAAAATCTTGGTGTATAGACCTATCCTTCATAGCCAAAAGTGTTTTTCTAGTGTGAAATGATCTGCAGTTAAAGGTAAGAAAGAGTACACTTCTTTTAAACAGCTTCTTTATGTTTAGAACTAGAGTAGTATGGGCTATCACACACAGAGATCACAATAACGTGATGCATCAAATGAACAAATCCACAAGGGCCGTGACGAGGGTTCGAACCTGCGTCCGGGAGCATCCCAGACACTGCCATCCCAGTGTCTGGGATGCTCCCGGACGCAGGTTCGAATTCTCGTCACGGCCCTTGTGGATTTGTTCATTAGTATGGGCTACTTTGTTTTGGCAGTTGAAGCTTGTTGCCTTTTGATAGTTTAAATCTTGGGGTCTTTGTATACTATTTCATACAATTTAGATTAGTGTTTCTCTATTACCTTGTCAACAGTTATTACGTTTAGTTACCGGATGAGAGCCACACTCGGGGTGTCCCATCATCCCAGCATTCCGTCATAATGCTTTGAAAGTACAGTACTGATAGTTTTGGCCTCCACCTTCTCACTGAACTTGTTCTAACCATCTATCACTGCAAAAATGAATTTTCTAATGTTTTTTCCAGCAGCTTTGTATAGTTAGCTCAAATTTATGACCTCTTGTTCGTGAAGTTCCAGGTCTTGAGAATTCATCGAATTTGTCGATTCCTGTGACTATTGTGTCTGTAGTGATCATATTGCCTCTTTTTCTTCTATCTTCAGCATATTTAAATATGCTGAAGATAGATGCCTCTAATCTCTCCTCCATAGCTCATGTCATTCAGTTCGAGAATTTCATGTCCTTGCACCTTTTCCAGTTTATTGATGTGTTTTTTAAGATATGGGCACCTTACAGCTGCTGGATATTCTAACTTTGGTCTCACAAAGGTCTTAGTGGGCTAACCAGAGACTTGGTGCCTGTTCACGAATATTCTTGCCAAGCACGTTTATCATAATATATTGGGTTGGGAGATAGGAAGCCAGAGTGTCCTCCCTTCCCCCCTCTCTGAATGTTGAATTACTTGACCCCACCCAGGATGCAACCCCGCAACAAGCTGACTAACTCTTGAGTACCTACTTACTGGCAAGTGAACAGGTGCATTAGGTGAAAGGAAATTTGCCCAACCATATCTGTCCCACCTGGGATTCAAACCCGGAATTCTTGATTGGGCGTCGAGAATGAACTCGACTACTACCGGGATCCTTGTGTGTGTGTGGTAAATGAAACACGAGAAAAAAAAATGAATGAGCAGACTATAGTTACTGGGTTTAAATTTGTTATTTTGGTAATTCACAATGATAGTCTAAAGTAGGAACTAAAAAATATAGTAAACATAAAAGACTATATTATTGGTGGTGTAAATTTTGTTCTCATGAGGCAGGATCACTAGTAGGGTCCAATAATGGACAATACTAAACTCTTCTGCTTCTGATTTATATAAATGGATAGCCAGAGAGTGAGAAAATTATGAATGTTTATAGATTCTTGAAAAGTTCTGATCAAAGTCAGTCAAAATAATCTTTCTAGAAAATGCATGAAACTAAACAAAATGGATAAAAAAAAAATTAGGTCATGTAGCTGAATGTGGGTAGATACACAGTACAGTTTAGGAAGATAAGTCTCACAAGTCGAGCCTGGCCTCGGGCCGGGCTTGGGGAGTAGAAGAACTCCCAGAACCCCATCAACAAGGTATCAACCAGGTAGGCAACCCTGGAATTATGAACAGTATGCATTCCAAAAAGGAGTTTGTAAGCCCAGATGTTCGCAAGTTGGGTCCCTTCTGTAACAGGACTGGTGAGAGTGGAAAGTGGGCCCCTAGAAGACTATAGTTTGTGTTTAAACTTCAAGAATATTGGATAAAGAAAATTACTAGGAGGCAACTATACACATTATTTCTCACCATCACATCATCAGGAGTCATCTGTACACATTAGATGACAGAAATGGGCACAATTCCTTTCAACTAAAGTGCCTGTTCACCTAGCAGTAAATAGGTACTCGGGTGTTAGTCAACTTGTGGGGTTGCATCCTGGGCGGGGTCAGTAATTTGACCTGGTGGGGGGGGGGGGGCTCGATATAAGCCAGCGTATATGAATACACTCGGGCTTCCTGTCCCCGAGTGTATTCAATGAATTATTATTATAATTATTAGCTTCTCACTATCATATAATGAGGAGGCAATTATACACATTAGTTTCTCACCATCACATCCTGAATAATATTTAGAAACTTCAATATTCTGTAACACAGACAGTGCTATATAGCCATCTTGACTTAGTACTTATGATAATTACTTATTTTTTACCACCAGAAAGCTTCATAATTCATATTGTAAGAGGCTTATACAATATTTAGCAGAGTTCAGGATAACCTTATGCACATTTGATTTCTAAGTAAGAATTATTATTTACACAATTTTCCACTGAAGCTGTAATACAACATACAGCACCTACAATAGCACATCAATAAAGGTTAAAGGTTCAAACATTTTCCTGTTTCCCAATGTTAGGGACAGTAAGTCTGTCAAGCTTATTGAGGTCCCTCATTCTTGGCCAACAATTTTTCCCAGGATGCAGCCACAAAAGTTGTCTGACGTTCAGGTACCTATTTAATTTATTATTATTTACTGCTAGGTGAACAGAGGCTTCAGGTGAAAAGAAATGTGCTGAAATGTCTTCCCCAAGACGTATTGGCAGTGAACCGACTGTCCAGTGCTGATCACTGCACTACAGACTCTAGGTATGATATTGGATATCCCAACTTTTAAGATGACGGTCAGAAAATTTGACTTGGTCCTGGGGTTCGACCCAAATGAATGGTCCGGGGTTTGATTCCTTGGCAGGACAAATCATGTGGGCTTGTCCATACACCTGATGCCTCTTTTTATTTAGCAGTAAATAGGTACCCCTAGAGTACCTATTTACACACAGAACCCCCACAGCTGTTGTGGGTTACTTCCTGGGAAAGGTCATCATTGGCCAAGGTGGGGGGTGGGAGATGTTGATTAGGCTTTCTGTTGTCAACAATGGAAAGCCATTATTTTATGAAAGGAAATGAGCAGAGAGGCAGATGAAAGATTGGTTGCCACCAGAAACAAGCAGAACAAGAGACTACAGTTTTAAATTACATAGAGCTTTGTATAGAAAGCAAGAAATAGTGTCCTGAAACCACGGGCAGCTTAGAGATACATTATTTAAGATTAATTATACTGTACAAAGATAATAGGATGTCATAATTTTTCATCAATTATTGTAACTATAACACAGTCAGTCACTCAAAGGATTGATGTCAAAATGTAGTAATTTTTAAATTTAGTTCTTGTTTTTCTTTCTTCCAATCTCCTCTGCTATTTGTACATTTTCTTTTATCAGTTTATCTACTCAGTCAAAAATAGATTTTTAGTTTGAATGTCATTCTACCCAACAGAATAAAAATGTCAATTTTCCTCCTCTGAAATTTTATTTCCTTTTTGGATTCTTAACTACTCAAGTTGTTAGGATGCTTTGTGTAGCTTGGAGCTCACATTTTATTTGATTTCCAATTTAAATATATGAACAAATAATTACGTGAACACTGTTTATGCCGTCATCGTTCCTGTACTATTCTTCCTGTACTCCTGTAATGTTTGCTGCCCATATGCTGCTGTGGAGGTGTTCAAGAAGTGAGCATTTTCACAAATTTCACAAATGCCCATGAGCCATTTCATTGTCACATAAGGGGAAAGGCTTTAGGTCTATTGCAGTTAACTGCCTAAAATATCTAATATTTTTTATAATTTTATAGTAAAAAAAAACCTGGTGCATAAATATAACTCTTTTAAGTTCTTTTTATACTATACAGAAGAAATTTGTTTTATTACCTGAACATTGTAAGACATTATTGAGGTAGAGCAAAGTATTATGATTTTATGAGTTGGTTTTTCATAATTTTCATTACTACAGTATTTCAAACTTGGGGAGTAAATCTAATTACTGTAATGTATTTGAAATCATTGCTGATTTCACTAATTTAGTAGGACAGTTTTGACAAGCGGTTTAATTGCAATATTCAACTAACAGGAGGCTCTAGCAGAAAAGACGCAACATGTGGACCAGCTCATGCGAGAACGTGATGTGGAAAGAGCCGAGGTTGCTCGTATGGCAGCACAGGCGGACGAAGCAACTAGGGCAGCTCATGACATGCGGCTACAGCTTGATCAGGTGAATACTCCTTCCCTATATAAGCATTGAAGTGAAGTGGAAGTATAAGTATCAGTATTCTCTATTGATTTAGAAAAAGAAATATGCCATAAGTAGGGGAAGTGTGTGTTTCTAGGCCAATCATATGCAAATGTTACATATTTAGATCATATGTTTTTGACAGATAATTAGTTGATAAATTAGTATTCATATTGTATTATAACCACGTGTTATTTACTTGCAGCTGCAAGAGGAGTCCGAAGAACGCTTGCACGACTTTGGTGAACGGATTCGTAATTTGGAGAAGGAGAGAGAAGATTTCATTGCTAAACTTGAAGATAAGCAGAGAGAACTCGATGATCTAGCATTCAGGCTAGAGGAAGAATCCATCACCAAGGCAGATTTGGAGGTAAGCATCGACTTTAAAGTACACTAGTTACAACTCGTTCAAAGTTTTCTTTGTGAGCACTTGTATCACCTTCATTGAATAATATTTATAAAAAAAAAATGCATGGGAATATAGAGTTATGAAATAATTTGAGTTATAATAATGACACAATGTAATTGTATGCTATTTACTTTATTAAAAAAAGTTTTGATACAAACCAATAAAAAGAAATATTTTCTACACTCGGTAATTTGAAGCATATGAGGCCCAGTTACTCCTGCTGTTCACCTGGCTACTCTGTCCATTTATCAGGCTACTCTGGCTGTTTACCCTTCTACTCCAGTCACTTACTCAAAAACAATATGAAAAATCTTTTAATCCTAATTTCTGTCTGGGTTAAGAAATCAAGAATTCGAACACAAATTCACCTTGGTTACCCGAAGATTCGGGTTACTGTAATTCAAATTACTGAGCTCTTACTGTACTGTATTCATAATTTACAAATGCTTTAAAAGTAAGGAGTATAGTGAAGTTTCCTCAGTTTAATTGTTTAATTGTAATATACAAGGATGTTGTTTGAATATCTCAGAACAGGGATGGTAGAATGGTAGAAAAGAAAAATTAGTCTTTATACACAATAGGAAAAAAGAGGAAAAATGTTAGCTTAATTCACAGGCCTTGTATTTGCTATCAGTGTTTAAAGGCTTACTGGCATTTCAGAAATTTAAATTTTGAATAAGATAGGACAAGGAAGGGGAAGGAATATGGTTCTAAGTGTTTTTATCGCAGTTGTATGTGGCAGGGTGAGTTTTGGATGTATTTCATGCAGGAAGACTTGGATCTCAGTCTATGATGAACTCTGTGGTCACATTTTCACTTGGAATATAATACTGATGTGAGGTTTCAAGTCCAAATTACTGTACTCTTAACATACCTTACATTGAGGCGTTTTCGGGGCTTAGCATTCCCGCCGCCCAGTCGTCGACGAAGCCTCCTGATTGCTGGACTGGTCAACCAGGCTGTTGGATGTGGCTGCTCGTAGCCTGACATATGAGTCACAGCCTGGTTGATCAGATATCCTTTGGAGGTGTTTTATCAAGTTCTCTCTTGAACAGTGTGAGGGGTCGGCCAGTTTTGCCCCCTTATGTGTGGTGGAAGCATGTTGAACAGTCTCGGGCCTCAGATGTGGATAGAGTTCTCTATCAAGAGTACCTATTGCCTATATTGTCAGGTATTGTCATCGTACCTATTTCAGTTAAATTGTATTTCCCTGGATAAACTCTTTGGGGAATTGGAAATTTTTGACATTGGCTGTCATAATTCTTCTTGCTCTTATATTGGTATCTTGAATGATATGTAATAACTTTAGAACATTTTGGGACTTGGACAGTGCTATATAAGTTTGTGGCTTGGTCCTATATTGTTAAAAGCCATGCCCTGAGCATATGAAAAAATGTAACAAATTCATGTCATTTTTAACTGGTAGATATTTACTGGAGGCTTTAGATATGGATTTTGAACCTTGTGTGCCCTGTGGGAGTTTCAAATATTGTAAAGTACCTAAAACATCTTAGGATGATATGCACACCATGAGTTCATCTTTAGAAGATATGAACATTTGATGGGATAAAGTGAAGGGTTAAAATCACAGAACTGCTTTGCTTTTGTTGACAGTATTGAAATACCTTTCGTGGTTTGTTTTTTGGCAGTCAATCCTTAAAAAAAAAATACATAATTGTCTTTCATCTTCTATTTTAATTTTTTTTTAGTTTACATTTGCACTATATTTGCACCACTGGTTTCCTTCCAGAGTTTGGCACTGCTGGAATCAGTAAGTCATTCACCATGTTTTGTGTCTTAAGGGATCTGTAGATGTATTGTAAACAAAAATGTTGCTCTTGATTCTTGGGTCTTTGTTAGATGTTGTAAAGATGTATTTGGTTACAAGTTGGTATAAGTTGACAAAGGGCTTAAAATATATTATTTGCTTATTTTGTGTGTATTGAAAATGGTATGAGATGTATTCAGCATTTTAAAGCTTGCCTTAATCATAAATATAATTTTTATATCTGTAGGGATTTAATTGAATTTACCTTGTATAAATATATAGATTAAGTTAATTTTTTTTTTTAAAGAATAAACCCTTCTTATAGTTAAAGCTAGATTTTGTTGATTTTGAAGTGATATAAATGTGACTATTTTCTGTTCACTAAGGTCAGTGTTGTTGCTTGGGGTTACTTAATGCGATACTGGTCATGCATTCCATTGTGAATCATGCATGGTATTGGTGTTGTACATGAGAAGATTTTGCCACAATACTGTACTTTGGTATGATATTGTAACACTACTTATATTGTTACCATCAAGGCCCTTGTGGATTTGTTCATTTGATATGTCACATTATTGTGATTTCTGTGTGTGCTACTTACATTAATGCCATCTGAAAATTTTGAAGGAAGTGGATGAGAAACACACAATGCCTGCTGAATTGGTGGAGGCAAATAGTAATTTGAACAGTGATTAAATGGGCACTTTGGACAACTGCGTTTTAACAGAAAATAATTTTTTAGAGCACGTTGAGTAAATATATGAAGAATCTAAATTTATATGAGCAAGGTTGCAAGGATCATAAATTTCCATTAATTGCTCTTCATTATATTGCATTAAAGTTGTAAAGCAAGTGGGGTGAATGTACAGTAGTTTGATATTGAAGCATGTAGAGTTGCTGGTGGCATAGTGGTAGCACGCCTGTCCTGCCCCTCGTGAACAGTTTTGTCTGTTCAAACCCTGTTCACCCAGCTGTAATTTGAGACCTGGTTGTTAACTGATTGGCACGTCATGTTCCAAGGAAAACTAGTAAGGTAAGGCATGCCATGAGCTATGGGAAAGGAAAGCTCTCAACCTCTTAACAGGAGCCAGATGTTGTCTGTTCCTGTACCCACCTGTGTAAAACAATTAATACAAAAACCCACTGTGGTGTGTCTGTTAATACTGATCACACTCCCTTATTTACAGACTTCATGAACTATGTAAAACCTCATGAAATATTCATATTAATCATTGATATAAATCTAAGTATAGACAAAAGTAGTGTCTTGCTAATTTTTAAAATTCATTGTTAATTGTACAATGAATTCTAGAAATAAGCATGGCACTACTTTTGTCTATACTTAGATCTATATTCATGAGTCATATAGGAGTTTCATGAGCTTTTACATAGTGAAAGTAACTAATAGCTTGTGTACTTGCATATAAGAAATTGTCTTGCCACTTTTAATGTGTAAGCATGTAAAATTCCTGCCACTTGCTAGGCACTAATATGATGTGGCATTCAGTTGAGGTTGCATGCTTATTTGGAAACCCACCAGTACACACACACACATGTTGTGCTCACGTTGTTACAGAATATTTTGTACATCTTGCAGTTATGGCTCCTGTTTCTGAATGTTGCTGAATATGAATTTGAATGTAATTTTTGTTTTAAGGTGCCTGGAAATACAGTAGTTGATATTGTATGTGCTAAGTAATGATTGGATGATAAATAAAGAATGCAAATTGGGAAGCAGTGGTGTACTGTACTGGCTGAGTCATGTGATGGTGAATGATACTACTTTACCTTATGCTACACTTTATACACTTCTTTGCCTCTAAGTATAATATTACTAAATATAGTGTTGTCTGCAGTACTCTACACTCCTTCAAGTTTGTAATTGTCTTGTTTACAGGTGATATAATAAATGTAGTCTTGTTTTAATAAAAGTTGCTTATAGGTGTACTAAACTCTCGGGTTTTATGATAATCTGTATAGTGTACCCTTTCCATCTCGTATGCACCTGTTCTGAGTATGAAGAGTTTACAGTACAAAGTCATTCTAACACTAAATACGATGAAGCTATTTATCATGTATTATTTTGATAATGGCAGAGTCAAAGTACAACAGATGGAGAGAAGATGAAAGGAATGGAGAAGGAGCTGGAAGAGGCACGACGGAAGCTGAAAGAACGAGGAACGATGGAAGCAAATAAAGCATTTGAAATGGAAGAATTGGAAATAAACCTTCGAGCTAGTGTGGAAGAGCTTCAAGCAAGAGTAAGTAGACTTGAGGCTCCAGTTACAATGAAGAATATTGCTATTTGTAATGGGCACTTTTCCTGTGACTCTCTCTGGAGGTTTTGTCTGCGCCGAGGGGTACAAAACCAGAGTTATAGTAAATATTTTGCTTTCATAATTGATTATATATTTTTATTGAAAAATATTGCTATCCCATTTCAAACTGAAAAGAAATATATATATAGTGAAAATTTTAAAATAAAAGTAAACTTGATGGATTTTCCATTAAATCCTGGAAAAGATGGTCCAAGAAGCTTAATACAATGCCTTATGTTATGCCAAATCTTAGACTACGATCATACAGACAACTTGTGAGCATAATTGGTAACACAATTTTTGCTTAGATTTTGTTTCCTTTTATCCATCTTAATTACATTTCAGTTAAGCGAAAGAGGTGCTCCTTTAATATTAACCATGACAAAATATTACAAATAACAGTAAACTGATTTTTTTCAGTCTTTATACAGTATCATAAAAAAAGCTCTAAGTAATGCTTCTTGCAGGTTGGCTTTCAATCCCCGACCATCCAGGTGGATTGGTACCTTTCCTTTCCTTTGTGCTGTCCTCGTATCCCTTCCAAGTGCTAAATAGTTGTAATGGCTTGTTGCTCTCTTTTGATAATTACTGTACCTTACCTTAGGCCATAAGTATTCCCATTATATATCTTTATCTATACAACAAAAAAACATAATTATAAAGTAATTATTACCTTTTTCCGATTTTGAATTGTGCTATTTTCTCATTGTTTAATCAGAAATGAGCATGCACTTAATATACCTGTAGTTACCATTAATCATTATAGCGCTCATAATGGGGAACAGTTCTGGAACAAGAATACGTTTATACAATAGAGAGCTGTCACCAAGTATTTAATCATCTTTGTTTTTTTTAACAAGTCTGTTCAAAATCCAGTTGGAAAAAATCCTCAGGAAAAATGGGGGACCTTTGACAAGCCACCGGCATTCACAAATCATAGACATAATTCTGCTACGTGACCCCAAACTCTTTTTGCAGCAAATTGGCGAAAATGGTCTAGACAATATTTTTAAATATATATAAAATACCATATACTCTAGGAGAATTGGCAAAACAATCATATTTATAATAGGTGCTGAAGACAAGATATTTTTATCATGCTGTATTATCTTTTCTAGTGGAAATTGAAGACATATACATTAGCATTGGGTTGTAAGTTATAGGTCAGTACAGTAATTGTAAAAATAGTCTGCTGTTAATGTCAGTTCATGCACTAAAAGTTAGTCCCGTGCCATCATACAAGGTAGATAATGCCAGGTCTGATGATGCTGAATCTGCATTACTCACACTCGGTGAGGCAGATGGGTCCGGGGTATGTGTATGCAATGCAACAAATAAGTTCGTATCTGAATAGTGAAGGAGCTTTGACAGATATTAAGAATGGCACTAATGAAGTCTGTCAGTCTGTATGTTGTCAATATTTTCTGTGCGCGTTGGTATATATATATATATATACCCCCCATCAACCAGGTATATATATATATATTGGTGCAGTACCACATATTTCTGTTGTGTAGTAGTAAAAATTTTATATGAAGCTGAATATTAAACCTGTCATGAACTTTAATCTAACCTAATTGTAGAGTTACAGGAAGTATTGTTACACCTTTTCTAATGCAGTAAGAATGTGTTGGAAATGAACATCAGTTAGGTAAAGGTTGCTCTGCTTTTTATAGTAGGCCAGTTTCCCTACACTGAATTGCTATATTTTTTCAGATAATGGAAATGGAAGGAGACAAGGAATCTCTGGAAAATGTGCTATCCAAGCAGTCGGAGCAGCTCAAGGTGCTGGAGACCAATGCAGAGGCACTAAGGAATGACATTAATGAACGTGAACAAAAGATCAAGCTATTAGAATCTAGTAAAGAAGAAGACCAGGCTCGTTCTAAAGAAAGATCTTTAGAAATTACTGAGAAAGATACACGAATACGAGAACTGCAGCTGGAACTTGATAAAACGTCAAAGGAAGTGAATACTGCATCACACCAACTTGAAGAAATGTCAAATAAATTTGCAAATGAAAAATCTGAAAAAGATTCTTTACTCAAAGAAATTCTAGGTTTGTATTGGTTTTGATAGTATTTTGTTCCCATGTTTATTTACAAATACAGTATATGCAAATATATTTGTAATATATATTTACAAATATATGTTTATGTTAAGGCATTGAAATTAACTTTAGCACACTGTTATATTACTGACAGGAATTCGAGAGCAGTTGAATTCTGGGTCGTCTGAAACCTCAACTCTTATGGGAGAGATCAGTAAGCTGAAGGAAGAACTGAGAGAGGCAACTCGTCATCATCAACAAGCTGCTGAAAAGGTAAGGTGTAATTACCTAAGTGTAGTTACAGGATGAGAGCTACGCTCGTGGTGTCCTGTTTTCCCGTTGTGTGTGTGTGAACACCTTTTAAAATAATTTCTGAACAGTCATATTTAAAATGAAGACAGGAATAAGAATAGTCATGGATTAGGCTTGGGTTAAAACATACCCCGTGGCTTTATCATGAAGGCAGTCATATTTAAAGTGAAGACCAACTATATTAACTATATTAACATAACATAGGCATAGGTAACTATATTAACATAACATAGGCATATTACTGAATAACAAGCATGTTTATACTTGTGTAATTCCTTTACAAATGGGTGATATAACTGCTTGGACGAGCACTTGGCGAGACCTGTAAGTTTAGCCACCCACACATTTATTGTGGTACTGTATTATATCACGGTAAGTATGGTGTCTGCTGACAATATTGTGGTGTCATTTTATAGTTACACATTTCTTCATCCAATTTATTCTATAGGCTTCTATGAAAAAACTTTTATTTTAATTTCTGTATCCAATGTGGACACACAGAGGAATTGACAGGGTTGACAAGGACAAATTAGTTAGCATGAGCAGAATATGAATAAGGGGACACATGTGGAAACTTAGTACTCAAATGAGTCAGAGACATTAGAAAGAATTTGTTCAATGTCAAGGTAGTTAACAAATGGAATGCACTAGGCAGTGATGTGGTGGAGACAGACTCCATATACAGTTTCAAAATCAGATATGATAGAGCCCAATAGAAACCTGTACACCAGTTGATTGACAGTTGAGAGGCGGGACCAAAGAGCCGAAGCTCAACCCCCGCAAACACAACTAGGCGAGTACATTGTTAGGTGGTTGAGTTCAGATGACACACTTTAGCGTGAAAATAAATAAGTGCTTTGGCCTTTGATATATCTACAATCCTTACATTAACATATATTTTGTTTCATCATGCAGATAACATTATTAGAGTGCCAAAAATCCAAGTTGGAAGCGGAACTTGAAAATGCTAACTCAGTGGTATCTAGTGTCGACGGAAAGCTCACGCAAGCTATGTCAAGCCTTAAATTAAAAGAGGAGCAGCTACAAAACCTCATGGTAAGAAGTCATACTTGTGTTCAACATATTTAGTTCTAAAATGTTAATACACCACATTGTATGTGACTGATCCTTATATTAGATCAGTCTACTATACAGTATTTAGTACATATGGTAAAAAAAAAAGGATCTTAATTTTGTCAGATTACCTTCTCAAAGGTAGGATGGCCTTTGCTCTGATCACCCACACCCCCTTTGCTCGGACACCTTACTACCCGCATCTTTCTGAATTAAATCTAATGCGTACATTGAAGAAAAATAAATGACATTCTACTTTGTTTTATTCTGTGTTTTTTTTCCACTTCTCATATTCCTGCATAAACATTTGCTAGATAAATTTTTGCTTTCGTTATTTGTATATCTTTAACGTGAAGAGCTCTTATAATGTCGTGTGAACATTATGAAATTGTCTCGAGTCATATTGCATATACTCAAGACTCTGAACGTTGTTTGTGTTTGCCTTATTTTAGATAAGTATCTGGTGATGAGTTCATAATCCTTGACATAGATGTCTTTCTTCACTAGAAATGGTAAAATTTGAGATGTTGCTGATATGACAAGCATGTTTTTTTACACAGTATTGCAATTACTTTCAGGAAAGACTACAGAAAACTGAGCTGTGCCTTAAGGAAGAACAAGAGACCAGAGTCATCGAGAAGCAGACAGCTGAAAAACAACATTTACAAAAGGAGGAAGAACACATTCAAAAAATAAAGATATTTGAGGAAAAGACAAAAGATCTGGTAAATACCGATGTCAACAAAGATTGTTAATTTGATATTAATTGTGGTAAAAATCAGTCACATTTATTTTAATGCTAGATAAATGTTTGTTGATGATGCTGTTTAGTATGATGATGCATAACACCCAAGTGGTGTTATGCAATTTGAGCTACACCTGTGGTTTTCTGTCTTCCTTATAATCCTTGTCATGTAAAGGTTCTAAATTTCCCCATGGTTGTGGCTTCCTTCACCAATTATTACTAAAAATTTACTAAGAGAATAATTTAATTTCTCTCGTAAATTACTCCATCTGCCTACCACTCTGCTAAAGGTTTTTGGTCACCTTTCTTCTCTTAAAGTTGAATTTGTGGTGAATGGACTGTTGAGTTTGTCATTAACCACATTTACTTCTACTGCTCCCATTTTCTCACTGGGCAAGTGGCTCTACACCTCATAAAAATAGGAAGTTTGATAATGATGAGTCTATTGCTACTACTCATTGATCATTTAGTTTTTAATTGTAGTCATGATGTGATAATTCAGCACATCCCTTAAAAATACTTTGCAATGAAAAGTAAAAACCTTTATTGTTTCATTAAGATTTAGACAACACTGATTTTCTGGGGAGTCACTTTGGTGGCTCCCTAAAGTATGTTATGTTAGCATGTTGTCAATATAGCATCCCATACTTAGCCACATCAGTCATAGGAGTCTTATTGGCCTCCTAGAGATCAGAGCAAGAACCTGGTCCTGTTCTTGCTCTGATCAGAGGTCCTGTTCTTGCTCTTTTGCTCTATTTTGTCTTGCTCTGATCAGAGCAAGAACCTCCCAGTACTCTCAAAACCTGTAACAGCAGGGGACTATCACAGTCACTCCTCACCAAGAAAGCACCCAGAAAGCAGATGTAACAATACAAAATGACTTCCTTGTTCATGTAAAAGCAGCACTGAAATGGCCAAGAGACACCACAAAAGAGCTGCTCAAAATCGAATAGTTAATATGGAACTGGGTATGAAACAATTACAGTACTCCCTGCACACACTGCCAGCCAGTGGCCAAGCCGGGGTCCCATATCCCTAGTAGTTCAGTTTCTGAATTGGTGGGTTGCTTCAGTCCTTCCCTCTTTGGAGCTCGACTCTTTTGCAATGGGTGATCATAAGGTGATCATAATAATCCCCTGCTCTCTGGGCCTCTTGGAGATGGGGGGATGGGTGTTGCGGGAGGGAGCATGAGCACATTCTGGCTCTGCTATCTTTTAGGCTAATAAGACTATGACTGTTATATTGGGAACTATATTGGCAACATAGCTTCAGGATCCACCAGAGCTCACCCAGAAAGAGGCATTTCATTACATTCAATTCTGGTTTTTAAATGCAACTTTAAACGGTGTCTTTCATTGCGAGACGCTTCCACAGATCAATGTTCCTGTGCCTGGTCTTGGACAGGTTGCATTCAAAACACCTGTACCTTACTTTATTCTGATTTTGTCTTGTTAAAAAAAAATGCAGTCAGCGCAAAGAATGTTAGTGGCAGTTAAGTAGTAAATATGTTATATATATATAGCTTTACATTTTCACATTTTAAATAATTTGAATTGGGCAATTCTTCTGGTAACAGGAAAGCCGTATTGCAGCTAAAGAAGCAGAGATCAATGAATCTAATCGGCAGCTGACAAAGGTGGAATCCAAAATTGCTGCGCTGGAAGTGGAGCGAGTACAGCTAAAGGAACAGGTGGCAGCTTATCTCTCCTCATCTTCGGGTTCTTCTGAACAACTTGCGACCCTGAAGAATCAATTGCAAGAAAAAGACAAGCAAATTGAAAATGTCCAAGTGTCGCTGCAAGAGAAAATTGCTGCATTATCACAAGAACAGGCCGCCAGAGCAGGTGATAACGACACGGCCAGGCAACAGTTACAGCAGGTGAAGGAAAAATATGAAAAGGAATTAGATGAAATGAAAAAAAATCTTCTCAACCTGGAAAAGGAAATTGGTGCAAAGGTGGAAGAAATTCTCAACCTTAAGAAGCAGCATATTGCAGAACAAGAGGAACTCGTAAAGAAAAAGGATCTTGAACTTTATGAGCTGCAAGAGCAGGTCATGCTGAAGGATGGAGAATTATCTGAGTTAGAGGTAAGGGTCTCTTAGGTGATTTTTTTATATATATAATATATATAATCACTTTATTTTATTTAAAATTGCATTACACAAAAAGGGTTACAACAAAGTACTATCTTTTTAGAGGATGAGTTGCTGTCACAAACTGTTGGTATTGGTACACCATTAGTATCAGTTAAGCCATACTGGTAGAGTATACAAAATATTGTACAAGTGTTTATTGACATATTGTGTGTTGGGTGTACAATGGCTACGACACACACATATGACATACATAGTTAAAAACTGCAATAGTTGTACTGTAGTATTGATTGAGATTTACTTGATCAGGAAATGTACTGATACCATTACTCTAAATACACAAATACACTGACACCAATACCCATATAGTACTGTACTTTATATTTTTGTCAGACATTAGAATCGTACAAGACTAACCTATACCACATCTTACATCTCATGTCGCATAAGAAATGTTTGGCATTTTGGCTAATGGTAGGTTAATAAATGATTGCTATTCTTTTTTAGTAACCCTCATCACTTGAAGAAAATGAAGATACAGAAACAGTTTTTGTGTTGTCAATGCTGCATTGATGATTTTAAATATTTTCTCTCTAAATTTTCTTTGGGGGTTATATTTATCATCTTGTGTGCTTAATAATTGCATTTATCTTTTCTAGGACAAAATAAAATGCCTAGAGAGTCAAGTAGATGCCATGACGTGTGCGTCTGCCGATAAAGTGGGAAGCATGGAGAAGGCTCTTGGGGATGTGCGTGTGGAGAAGGAACGACTGCTCAGAGAGATAGAAGAGGTATAGTGTACAATGATACATTGTGTTAAAGACTGCTATATTAATTGAAGCCTAAACTGTACAAGAGATGCTTTCCTGAATAACCTCATGCTACTCAGTGTTGCAAAGCAAATTAAAGTTATATTGGATAAATAGGGAGGCATGCCATTGACTTCCCAAAATCATCTTTGGGAGGTAGAAATGACCCATTGGACTCTACATTAGTGATCTCTGGTCGAGTCATCCCATTGTTCTTGCTGATCAGACTAGCAAGGAATTCACTACTGTTTACCAGCAACTTGTAAAGTCTACAAGATGGCTGGATCACACTTGACTATTTTGCATAACGATAGGCATGCCATTTTTCAAGGTATATGTTTTTCAAATAGTTGCGGATGATGTTTTCCTCTACAAAAAAATAAGAAAAATTTATGTAAATCTATGCATATATTAGCCGCATTTGTTTGACTTTAGTTAGATTCAAGCATGTCTAATTGAGGTGCAATTACCATACCTAAGTGTAGTTACAGGATGAGAGCTATGTTCATGGTGTCCCATCTTCCCAGTACTCTGGGAAGACGGACCATCGATGTTGCCTCCATCCTGTGGCTTTGTCAGACGTTCGAGCACCCAGATGTGGACCTCTTCACATCGGAGTAATCTCAATACCTTCCCTTGTATGTAGCGCCATTCTCTGATTATGGGGCTCTTGTAGTGGATTCCTTTCAGCTGGACTAGTCGTAGTGAGGATTCCTTTACCTCTTTTGCCCAGTCCAGCTGTTGCTCCGGGTCCTGGTTGATACCTGGTTGATACCTGGTTGATGGGGTTCTGGGAGTTCTTCTACTCCCCAAGCCCGGCCCGAGGCCAGGCTCGACTTGTGAGAGTTTGGCCAGGTTGGTGTCCTACTGGGGAAGGGTTCTCCTTTTGGCTTCCAGGTAGCTGACCCTGCCTTGGTTTCAGGCACTGCTTGCTCATTGTCCGATCTCCAGGCATTTTTCTGTGGCTCTGCCTCTTGCAAAGGGATGACCCAGTGATGTACTTTGCTGGTTCAACCTTCTCTGTGCTATGCCTCTGTGATTTCTGACTCAGGTTTATCTGCATTTATATTGCAAACAAGTGGGGTTCATTGATGGTGTCCTACTTGCATTCTTCTTGGTATGAATTTTCATGGCACTTTTCGCCAACTTTTCTTTACGTCGGCAGTTTTTGGGTTTTGGAGCAGTGCTCTCCTTTCTTAGCTTTTTCTTTATCAGCATCTCATGCCAAATGCTGCTGCCTCATATCAAGCAGCACTGGCAGAGTGGCTGCAGCTTGCATTTTGGGACAATACGTACTTCTTCGGTCCAGTTTCACAGGCTGTCTCGCTCCATGTTTTACCTCCAGCATGCTCATGTACTACCTGAGCATGCTAAATCTTTGGACTGTGTTCTTTTGTTTCTATTTTCTCCTCTGTTAATGGTGTCCCCTTCAGTCCAGGATTGCTTCCTCAAAGTCATTAGGGAGTTTTCTCACATCTACCATAGAACTGGAGTCACCAGCTGTGACTGCACTCTACCCCCCACAAACGAGCGGGGAAGGTGGGGCAAATGAGCTGGCACTAGTTTTGAAATTTTTCGATTGTTTGTTTTCATTGTTGGGAATTCATTTGGCAGCTTATTAAGCTATGGTCTTTACTGCAGCCAGCTGTTGTTTTTGTCTTGCTGACTTTCTGGGGGCCTTCCCTGGTAGTGGCATAATTAATTAAATAAATAAAGAAGTAAATTCCACTGCTCCCTATGCCTCTGTGAGGTGGGGTCAGGTTCTGGCTCTTGGTTTCTGGTAGGCCAATTAGAATTCTGCAGCTGATGGGACCCAGTAGATGTTACACTATCAGTGATATATAGTAGCTTCAGGGAGCCACCGGGGTTTGCCCAGAAATGTGTCTGTTGTTATTACATTCAATGCTGGTTTCATGGACTTGTTAATATTTTAAATACTATATTTGTGTATATTGTAAACTATTATAATAGCAATACAGTAATAATATAGCAAGATAATCACCACTAGAATGAAAGTAATTAATTTTGACATCAGGGATTAAAATAATATTTTATCTACTGTTTAGTCTTATATCATGGAATTGTTTTGAAACCTCACAGATCTATAGTGTTAGGAAGTAAGCAGATATGTTAAGTAATGTTTACATTATATTTTAGGTATTGAAAAGTAAGGTAGAATTAGAGCAACAACTGTCAGCCCTGGACAAAGAAAACCGTAAACTACGCACCGAGCAGGAAGAGAACCTCTTGGCGGTTACTCAAAAGGATCAGAAGGTATGTTGATAAATGTACAGTTGTAGGCCAATGATAATCTGAATGCTGTATATCACCTAAGGCTTCCAAAGATATCACTTAACTACAAAATTATTTTTTGTAAATGAGATTTGATCCAAAAGTTTTAGAGCATGGTTTTTGGGATTTGGGAGACAACAAGTAGCATCTTTCAAGTTGACAAGTTGGAAGTTCAAACTGCTGTACAGTATTTTCATACCACTTCTAATACAGTGGAACCTCGAGTGACGAGCGGCTCACTCGCAGGAAATATGTCTTGACTGACGAGTTTTCGCTCGATTAACGAATGTTCCCGCTGGTTCTCGGACACCTCCGATGACAGTTTTGTTGTTGTCTCGCAAGACGAGTTTTCCACATGACGAGCTCGGTGCCGGAACGGATTAAATTCGTTAATCTAGGTGCCACTGTACTATAGTAATTCTCTGAAAATCCCGGTTTTATTGCTAGCGTAGCGATGGAGGCACAACTCAAACCTATCCGTCTTTCTCTACATCTTTTGCTTAACCCTTAAAGGGCACAATACATTCATAGGTGATTGGAGTAACTGTCATGGAATGGCGCACCTCATACGTACATAGATGATTGAGGGTGCCACGCACGATTTAAATGTCCCGTGGCTACACGGGGTGTTGAAGGCTATTAAGGCAACTGCCTCCCAAGGGTTAATTTGGAGTTAGGGAAGTAGTTTTGTGTAATTTTGAATTTGCATAGGTACAAAAAGGTATAGACTTTAGTTTCCTAACACTTGATATGTAGCTGATTTGAATGATTACTTCATTTGTTTTATGAACATGTTAAATTAAAGAAACGACAATTACTTGTGATTATCAGCAGAAGTCAGCGCATTCAATTCCAGCGAAAAGGTCCTAGGTTTCAATGATCACTGCCTTTCCAGTGGCAAGGCAGTGACAGTTGGGTTTGTTTCCTATAGCCTACTATGTCTATTCACCTAGCAGTAAATATGTACCTGGGAGTTAGACAACTGTTGTGGGTTGCATCCAGGGAAGGGACAGTAGCTGGCCAAGGGGGACCAAGATAATCATAGCAGGCTTCCTGTCCCTGACAAAAGGTAAACATAAATATTTGCCCGATGGCATGTGGACAACATTGTCGCGTTGACACGAGGCTCTTGCCAGTCATGTTTACATCCCTGTTCATTCATGAAATGGAGTTTAAAAAAATCATTCCATCCTTTAAGGAAGGGGGTTGATTGTGTTGAACTCTTAGTGGTAAAAATGTCTTGAAAAGTTAAGAAAAATAATGTGTTCTCGATAGACAGTTAGTGGTTATGATGGAGAGTAACAGGGAACAGTGAAGTGTATTAGGAGTATGATGTGAGCGGTAAACAAATGGGTATCGAAATCTTACAAAAATAAACAGAACATAATTATTTTGATACTGTGTATGTTGAAACAAAAAAAGCACTTTTTACGGTATGATACTGTATGTATTCTTAAAATATACAGAACAATATTTGTAAATGGTTCAAGTATACAAAGAATTTTATGTAATAGGAGGATTGTAAAGGAATAACAAGCGGTAAGAATACATTTAATGAAAAGTAAAAACTGTATAAGATTGTTTAGAATAACAACTAAAGAAAGTAGAGAAAGATGCTCAAACATTCAAGGAAACCTGATTGTAACAATGAAAATACCAGATAATAGCAAAGTTTACATTGTTAAATGTTATAGTCAAGCCAGGGATAATGTTAGGGGAGTAGTCAAGCCAGGGATAATGTTAGGGCAGGCAGGGATAATGTTAAGGAGTAGACAAGCCAGGGATAATGTTAGGGAGTAGACAAGCCAGGAATAATGTTAGGGATAACCGAATTACCCCGATTATCAACTATGAAGATAATTGTTGCCTAAGAATCAAATTTGATCAGTGTTCATATTATGTTGCATTTTAATATGTTGATGTGTTTTCTCTGTATTTGCTTCATGGTAATATGTACATTATTTGTTTCTTATGCTCTGTAAGGTCCAAGTATTTTATTGTCTTTAATTTCTGTTACTAGTATGCCCCTTATATGGAGAAAATACACACTCACGTCCATATACGCATAAGCATGTACACGCATACACGTTCGCATACACTTGTGCATGCACGCTCACATGTAATTACCTAAGTGTATTTCAAATAGAATAACAGGATGAGAGTTACGCTCATGGTGTCCCATCTCCCAATTCTAACATTTTTCGGCATCTTTGCTTTTTGAATGTGTGTGTTTGTGTGCATGTGCATTCATGCCTGCTTGTGTATCACCTGTTGCTCCCAGTTTACCATTTCCTTGTAATTTTTGTTCGTCGTAAGAGTACCACGTGTTGATAAACTGTCCTAGCACTGTGCCAGTGTAAGTCAGTGCGATTTGCTTTCCTCTGTAAATCATCACTCTTGAAGAACATTTACATTAAGCTGTAAATGTGGTTTATCTAGCTTTTAAGAATACTGCCTATTACCCTGACAGATTATAAGTATGATCTGCCTACCATTTTAGACAGTACTTTAACCAGTATTTCTGTATTGTGTATGTAATTTACTGTATAATTTTTTCTACACGTGACTTTTTTTTTTTTTTAACTGCACTTAAAGACCCATCTATGTTATATAATGTAGTAAAGCCGCACAAAACCACAGTTGCATTTAACCCTTTGCTATTCTAACAACATTCATCATTAGTTCATTATTGCTCATTGAGTCCATATGTTAACTTCTAATCACTGCATCAAGCATTTTCACTATTACCTTGAGCTCTCATCCCCAGTGCCATTATGCCATTTTCCACCCAGGGACGAGAGCCCGTCTCCCCTGAGAGTCGTGAGCCCGTCTCCCCCTGAGGGTCGTGAGCCCGTCTCCCCTGAGGGTCGTGAGCCTGTCTTCCCTGAGGGTCGTGAGACCGTCTCCCCTGAGGGTCGTGAGCCCGTCTTCCCCGAGGGCCGTGAGCCCGTCTCCCCTGGGGGCCGTGAGCCCGTCTCCCCTGAGGGCCGTGAGCCCGTCTCCCCTGAGGGCCGTGAGCCCGTCTCCCCTGAGGGCCGTGAGCCCGTCTCCCCTGAGGGCCGTGAGCCCGTCTCCCCTGAGGGCCGAGATCCCGTCGTCTCCCCGCTAGGGCCGAGATCCCGTCGTCTCCCCGCTAGGTCCGAGATCCCGTCGTCTCCCCGCTAGGTCCGAGATCCCGTCGTCTCCCCGCTAGGTCCGAGATCCCGTCGTCTCCCCGCTAGGTCCGAGATCCCGTCGTCTCCCCGCTAGGTCCGAGATCCCGTCGTCTCCCCGCTAGGTCCGAGATCCCGTCGTCTCCCCGCTAGGTCCGAGATCCCGTCGTCTCCCCGCTAGGTCCGAGATCCCGTCGTCTCCCCGCTAGGTCCGAGATCCCGTCTCCCCAAAGGACCATGAATCCATATTCCTACAATGCCTTAAACCTTAAACAATTTTAATCTCCATATTGATACCTCATTCATAAGAATCTTAATTATTCTTCATCTCTCTTAGCACACCTGTGAGTCTCAGTTATTGTAGTCAGTATTTAGAACTTTTATTACTCTTCTCATAAGTTTTTATAGTTTTAAATTCCCATTTTCCCATTGTGCTTTGCTTTTTAACTTTCTTTCTGCGTGATCTTGTAATTGCTGTCTGTCTGACAAAGTGAAGAATTGAGTTTCATTGTAATTGTATGCATATTCAGATGTTTTCCTTGATTTAATGCAGAAGACATTCCTGTTAAAATTTTCTAATAGCCTTTCATTATGTTATTCAGGGTACTTTTTTTTTTAAGCCACTTCCATTTATTTATCAATGTTAATTCTACCTGTAAAAGTGATTTTTACCATCTTTTTGATGCTTTATTTGCCATCACAATCTCTATCTGGCCTTCATTTACCTTCCTTGACTGTAGGTGGCAGCCTTGAAAGCTGAAGTGGAACATTTGATGACAACGTTTAATGCTCATCGTGAGGACGTGCAGAAACAGTTGGTGGATGCACAGGCTGACAAGGAGGCTATGGCCCACATTCACAAGACCTTGTATGTTTCCCTTTTGCTTTTATACTACTCCCCTTCCTTTGTGCAGCATTTGTGTTTATTCTTTGCTTCAAATATTATTTATTATGATTGTTGCTTCAATTGTTATTAGCAGTGCACTTATTATTTGTATGTAATTTAATATTTATTGTGAAACAGAATATTAGATCAGGGAATAAAATGAAGGGTAAGTAAGGTCTGAGGCTATCATATGAGGTGTGTAGATAATGACGAGCTCCTAACACACACTTTAGAGAAAAAGGTTACATTTTGGTGCATCTTGAACAGTTTTAAAGTCTTGGCTACAATAGTTACAACTTCAATATGGTCCAGAATAGATTGAAATACCATTACAGTGCATCCCCCTGTCATTTGGACCCATTTGTAGTTACAGATGTCTGGATAGCTACAAATCTGGATAATGAGGATGCTACAGTACTTACTCTTTGTTTTATTATGTGGGTCTCTGCTTAATCCCGCTATTATATGTTGATGTTAAATTTTCATGGCGATGGCTTACGTTGTAAGTTTTTTCAAGTTAGATTAATAAATATATGTAAAGATCATCCATGCCAACAGTGTTTGTCAATCTTTAATGTAGTTTTCACTGAATTCTGAATAGTTTCCCTTTGATAGAAGTTATAAATTAAAGTGCTATTTGCATTATTATCTACATGTAGATAAACTAAATACATTTGATTCTTAGTTTATATGTTTAGATGCATTTCCTGATACTTTGCATAGATTCTGGCAATGTTCTTTGATAACTGCCGTGCTTATGCAGAGCTCTTCCCAGCTTCTTATGTTTGTATGTTAGCTGTGTACAGGCTGCTCTGAGACATCTTGGTGCATGCTTGGCTATCTCTATTAGGCAGGTGATAAAAGGTTTCTTCTATATCAGTAAATGGCTCTGGAACTCAGATGAATAGGCAGTTGAAAAAAATCCTTGTTGCAGATTTGACCATAATGAATATTTTTAACTAAAATAAAATAAGAATGTAAAGTGGTGTTAATTCGTTATTCTTTATAAATACAGGTATTAATGGAATATTAAATTCTAATATACTAGAATACATTTCATTTACAATATACTGTACAATAATTCTTGTGTAGTATTGAATATATACATTGTTAAAGCAAATAATGTATACAGCATTTAAGTATGCTTTCATGTTAGCTGCTGATTGCATGATAATTGTTTTAGTTCAACATATAGGAAGGTAAAATTTTGTTACCTATGTCCTTATCTTTTTCAAGTAAGTTTTTATCACTTAAGCCTGTCCTCTGGGGTCGATCCTGGTCCCAGACCGGGCTCGAGGATTAGAAGAAATCCTGAAAGCCTCTCCAGGTATGCTCCAGGTATTTAGGATAAAAAAACCTTGCATTGTTTCTGAAAAAGATTCACTTGGTTGCTCCCCTGAGCCAGAGCCAGTGGCCCACCCATATCACTGTGAACACAGTAGGCCTTGAGCAACGTTGGGTTGAGTCGTTAACTCCTCAATGGGTTAAGTAGGTTGTCTAGGTTCAAATACTTCTAGTTAAACTAAACCACCTTAATTAGATGCTTTCCAGATAGTGAGAATGGGCTGAATTGAGGTATTTGATATTAAAATTATTTTTTTTATAAGCCACTGCTGTAGATGTGTAGAAGAGGGAGGGTTAAATAATTACAATAAAGGATATAAAAGATGTTCATAATTTATTAAAATTATACTTTTCCATTCAGTGAAAAGGAACTAGTGCGGTTGAACTGCCTGCAGGAGAGTCTGTCAGCATCAGAGGAAGAGAAAAACACCCTGCAGACACACATAAATCAATTACAAGAAGAACTCTCACGATTAAAGGTAAGATTCTTATAATAAAATAAATTGTTAAAAAATTGTATGACATTTTGCATGTCAAATTTGCCGTTGATGTGTTATGATCTTGTGCCATTGCCTCTAGACTTTGAGATTATCTTTCTAAAGGGTCATGGTTGTTTTAAAGGTTTATTGTTCAGTGTGAGTGTTGAGATTATCTTTTTAAAGGGTCATGGTTGTTTTAAAGGTTTATTGTTCAGTGTGAGTGTTGAGATTATCTTTTTAAAGGGTCATGATTGTTTTAAAGGTTTATTGTTCAGTGTGAGTGTTGAGATTATCTTTCTAAAGGGTCATGATTGTTTTAAAGGTTTATTGTTCAGTGTGAGTGTTGAGATTATCTTTCTAAAGGGTCATGATTGTTTTAAAGGTTTATTGTTCAGTGTGAGTGTTGAGATTATCTTTCTAAAGGGTCATGATTGTTTTAAAGGTTTATTGTTCAGTGTGAGTGTTGAGATTATCTTTCTAAAGGGTCATGGTTGTTTTAAAGGTTTATTGTTCAGTGTGAGTGTTGAGATTATCTTTCTAAAGGGTCATGGTTGTTTTAAAGGTTTATTGTTCAGTGTGAGTGTTGTGCAAATTATCATGATGATACAGTACCTAAATAGATGCTCTGATATAGTAAAAGATCATCTATCTGCCATGTTGATGAGAAAGTCGCTCGGGAGAATGCTGCCATCTAAAGTTAAAATTCTAGTGTGTGCAATGATCTTTCACCTTACAACCAGTATCATTTAGCTAGTTTAAAATAGATATTTAGTCATGTTCTTTCAGAAGGCATTTTAAAGACTTTATAGGCTAGATGAAAGGTTTCAAAAGCTGTAACAGATTCCCCATTGTTGAGGACTGATGAAATCCCCCTCTTGTCTAACCACTGACCTTTGCCTTGATTTGTTATACCTGACATATAGATTTTGCATTTTGTTGCATTCAAATCCACATGCTAATCCTTTAGTTATAAATATGTGCTTGATCCACAAACTTTAGGTTGTACTTAATAATCGATGTACTTTACAAAGATGATAGGTCCCCAAAATAGACCTTGTGCTACAATATTCATTGCCATTTCACTTGTATTATGTACTGTTCAGCACTAAGTTGATTCTGAGGATCAGTGTCTCCATATTGGTCACTGCAGCTTACAGTCTGAGGTAAGATCCACAGCCTTGTTAATTGGATATTCCTTTGGAAGTGTTTCATCCAATTCCCTTTTGACCCCTCTCCATCAACCCTCCTTAGTCCATCATCTAACTTTTATTAATTCAATAATTTTGCTGTCAGACATTTGAGATATGAAGACAGACCCATTGTCAGTGGTTACTCTATCTTTTTTTTTTTCTTTCAAATGATTGTTTACAACTGGACTCGCTTCTACTGTCATGTTAGAGATGACTGACTAAATGTGGGAAATCTCTTATTTATGGTTAATTTCTTTGAACATGGAGTTGACTTTAAGAAATAGACCATGTTCTAGAAAGTTTCCACGAATCTTTGTGATGCATTTTTCCATGCCTTAAATTGGATGCAGTCATTTATGGTGATATTTGAGTGTGACGTCCAGGTTGAGTAAGCTTGGCCATCTCTCCATAATATAATGAAGCTCAGCAAACATTTTAAGAGTTTATTATCAGATTTTCTTTATTTCAGGGCATTGAGGAAGAAAATATGAATCTTGCAAAAGAAAAAGATAAATTACAAGTTGAATTACAGAAAATTAAAGTTCTTGAAACTGAAAACTTATCTCTTTTGAACGAAAGAAATAAACTCGAGGACGATCATAGGGAAATGATTGAGGACTTAAGAAAACAGAAAGATGAGCTGCTTGAAGAGAAGTGCAAGATGGAAGAAGAGATCAGAAGCCTGAGGAAGTGTGAAGAGGAGAGGTCTAGACTGGGCGGAGATGTTCAGAGACTGGAGGCAGAACTAACTAAAATGATGCAAATACAAGAAAGTAACACCACATTAACATCACAGCTGGAAAAACTGAAAGCAGAAAAGGCAGAACTTGTGTCCAGTACAAAAGTTAAAGAGGAACAGTTGATACTAAAAAAACAACTTGAGGAGGACAATATTCGATTAAACTCAAGTATAAAAAGTTGCACAGAAGAAAAAAATAAGCTCATGATTGACATACAGAGGCTAGAGGCTGAAACTGCCTGTAGACTGAAAGATATTGAGAGTGAATATAATAGAGTTAAGGACACAGTGCAGGTGCTTCAGGAGGAGAAGAAGATGAGGGAGGAAGAGAAGGAGATACTAAAGGAGGAAATAAAGAAACTTAGATTAGTGGAGGAAGAGAAGAAGGATTTAGAATCAAAAAATATAGTTCTTACCCAGGGTATGGAGGAGCTTAAACAGAGGTATGTACAGTATCTTATTTTTGTTGTTGTCTTACAAAAGTAAATATTAATGGTAGGAAATTATTAGATTAAAAATACAAAGTTTATGTATATTTGCAAATACATGTGTGTGCACTCACTTATTTGTGTGTGTGCAGGATTGAGCTGTTATCTCTTGGACCCTGCCTTTCGAGCCATTAGTTGTATAATGTATTGACTCTCAACCTTTTGTTCTCTACCAAATCTTCTATATATAACACATCAGTTGTAATTTTCTTCTATATATAACACATCAGTTGTAATTTTCTTCTATATATAACACATCAGTTGTAATTTTCTTCTATATATAACACATCAGTTGTAATTTTCTTTTATATATAACACATCAGTTGTAAGGAAACATGCTCTAATGTCTTGTTCTGCATTGAAATCAAACCCAGGGCTGTTCAGCTATGAGCTGATTGCACTTACTACTGCAGTTGTAAGGTTGTTTAAATCCATATTCAGTGCAACAGGTTCTAAGTGCCAATGCTTTCTTACTTTGAAGCCTGGTTACTGGTGTAGCAATTTATTAGAACAAATGCTGTACAGTACTGGCTGGTTTTTTTTTTTTTTTTACTCTTAACAAAAATGCTTGAGTTTGTTTTTTCTTTAATCGAGCATCAAATGTGCTAAGAAAGCTTTTATTGCTCAGAGTTAGTTTGTGAAATGCAGCATGGCCTTAGAATTTAAATAAAAAACTTTAATGATTTTTTGCTGATAAGAATGTTCTCTCTCTCTTGCTATTCATGGTCGAACCCTTGTAAGAATCTGACCAGATTGTTAATTGGGTTAACCCATGTGTTGCATTTCCACAATGGTCGCCCAAGTTAAAATCGGTGAACGCTCCAAGAATATTGTTGAAAGCATCTTGATAACTTATTGGCATCCTTGGTGATATTTAGCGCCTTCTGATTATTCCGCACATTTGATGGTGCTACATAACCTTCCCGGTTTGGTGCCTTCTTTTTGATAATTACTTACATGATAACTTATTAAACCAAAAATCAAAATTTTGCTAATGTTAGGTCAGGTCAGGTCAGGTCAGTGTTTTACCACTGCGTCATGGGGACTTTATGGAGAAATTTTGAACGTTAAAATTGGCATTCGCCGATTTTAACTTGGGCGACCATTGTGGAAACGCAACACATGGGTTCACCCAATTATTACTTAGGTCAGATTTCATTATAGTTCGGAACATTCACATAAGTGTGAACCAGTTTACAATAACAAAGAAAGTTTGTTACTCACAATAATAGTATTCCCAGTTACTAGTGGTTGTTCAGGCAGAGTGAAGACAATATGCCCAATTGTCCCAACCTGTCTTAAGATTCCAACCTGGATCATCTTGCTCATGAAGAGTGTGCTAACCCCAATTATTGGGTACACTGGCAGATGAAGTCCAGTTAGTTTGTTGCCTCCTCTCATTCTTATAAGTTCCATTCTTATAAGTTAAGGAAGTCCATTGATCTTCATAACTCTTGTCTGCCTTGGGGGATATCTTGCTTCCTAGTCTGTTCCTTAGTAATTAAGAGACATTATTCTTGATATTGTATTCTGCCTCTCCATGGCCAGAATTGCTCTTTATTTATTTATTTGATGTTTTCAGTGTTGGTCCTGCCTTGTTTCCTGTTATTTTGTTCCAGGTTTTATAGAAGAGTTCTAACAGTTGCTCTTGGTTTATTACATTGTAAATAATTGCAATTTGGCACTTGCAAATCTTCAAAACTCCATTTGCCAATGATCAAGAGCACTACTGTACTGCTCTTCTGCCTCTCTTACATCTCCATACTACTAATTCTGCTCCTCTACATCTTACATCTCCATTTATGTTTGTTGTTATAATTCAGCAGGAAGAGAAATGAATGTGCGCTTCACATGGTGTTTATTACACCAACCACAAACAATGTCACCGGTTATAGGCTACGTGACTTATTATTTACAGTGCTTATAAAACAAAAGAGCATCGGGTCGAAACGTTATCCACCGAACCTATGTAGTACTTAATCCTACAAAGTACCTTTTATATTTGTATTTTTAAGCAAGGACAAATTATTTTTATCCTAGTTTTTTCTGTTTTTATTTTAAGAAATATTACTTGTACCAAATTGTTCCCAAGATGCTTTCAATAAATTTTTTATTTATAATTATTCCAGGTGAGACATTGGATTTGAGTCAGATATACTGGAATTGTTGGGTAGATTTAGTTTGTGTCGGTACCATAGGATAATGACAAATGTTTTTGCTTAAATATAAATAGTAAAATCTGTAAATACAGTAGATTACCAGCAAGATAAATTTTTGTTTATTGCTTTAGTTGCAACTGGTAGGCTTATTGTCTATAGAAAGTTAAGCAAAATTAATTACTTTTGAATCAAACATTTTGTGTTTCTCAGTGACCCATGTTGCTCCATCACATGAGAGAACAGTCATGGGATGTTCAGCCCAAGGTAGACCGTGTATTGAATTGTTCATAATTTTGTGTGAGGATTGTAGCGAGTGCCAGAAGTTGCTAATTAGTTGCCAGTGCTAGCTTGCAGCGAGCTATTTTCTGTTAGAATATCACTGAATAAATCAGGAAAAATCTGAACATGTAGATAAGTTTTTGAGGTTATGGTTTGCCTGTTTAATTGAAAATCCTCCAAATAATGGTGAATTCTAGCAGATGACATTTGCATGAAATCCTCAGGAAGAACTATATAAATTGTCAAATTGTAATTGTGAAATTTGTCATAATTATGTTACTTAAAAGGGAGAATAATTTAGGGCTTATTGTAGAGTTTATTCTAGAGGTTTATGAAGTAATAATTACTGTAATACACATGTCTTAACAGAAAGTAGAGGATGGTGTATTTTGGTATCAGTTGTTATGTTTGAAGGCAGTTATTGGACATACTTATTGGTAATCATTTCTAAATATTCATGGTAGTGATTATACCAAGCCTAATAGTCATAATTTGCAATGATGTTAAAATTAGTAGTCTAATAGTTAATAATTTACTCATAATCATATTGATTATACATATTTATTGGTGATCTTGTGCAATAATTACTGTTGACATGGTGCAAACTCCATAATCAGGTTTTCTTTATAGTGAATAAATCCAAATAATGACATTTTTCTACTGGATTGCCTCTCCAGAATTCTTGACAGCTAGATTTTTAATGTTTTCTCTGGAAATTTGTTTTGTCTGTCTGAGACTACTTTAAACGTGGATCACTGAGGTGTGCAATTGAGCTGGGCAGGAATGCCAAACTGCTCACAACAGCTATCAACAAGGTAAAAGGCTTATAGCAACAACACAAGATCTTGAGGTCGTCTTGCCAGATATAGGTCGTGTCTGCTCTCTACCTGGTGGTGCAGGGGAATCAGAGATTGGTAACATCAAAATTTATATGATGTGGTATTAGTATAGGCGAAGGATCCGTTTGTGGGATCGATACGGCAAAAGTTTGCAATATGAGGGAGAAAGGATTTCCTATCTCAACACTATCTGCTTAACATACGAATGTATTCACTAAATTAGAACCTAAAACAAAATTGTTTATACACCTGGAAATGGGGATAATTGTCTACTTTAGGAGGTGTCATAGGTAAATCTATACACAGTCTAGTTTCTTGTCGACGATACCCAGGTGGTGTAACGCAACCTAACTTAACACAGTTAATACGAACACCTCGAGCAATAATGGCTGCCTATCACCCTATCAGCCCTTGTTAAGGACAGTTTGGAGCTTTGAAAGTGATGTTTGGGAAATTTTTTGAACGTGCATAAAACTGACGTGTGGGAAAATACATTCACAAAAACGTGCACGGTCAATAACAGGCACTCTGTGGAATGCCTCGTTCTGAATGGCCACGCCAGAGCCAAGAACATTCACCAAACTCACTGACTTCACTTAGCACCATGAAATGTAAGTAAATAATGTGTACACAAAATAATTATAGTTTGCTTATTCATGAGGCAGCTCACACCGACACACGTCAGTAGGGATAACCCTTCCAAGGAAGGGATCGGAAGGGTAAAGGCTAAATTACCGAAGAGGAAAATATGACGAGAAGAGGAACTTCCTCATGGGAATACCGTGGGAACAGAACTCAAAGAAAATAGTGGACAGGATATGATGGACTACATCACCCAGAAGTGCCAGAAGCTGCAGACAGGTTTATCCCGGCCCAAAAGGAGAAAAATGAAAAGCAACAGAAGAATCCATGGTTCAGTCAGGAATGTAAGGTAGCAAAGCAATTGAGTACAAGAACATGGAGAAACTACAGGAATAGGAATAACAAAACACCAGAGAGCAAGGAAAGATACCAGAGGGCCAAGAATGAGTACCTCAGAGAGAGGAGAGAAGCAGAATGTGTTTCAAAATGACATTGCGAGTAAAGCTAAGACCCAACCAAAACTGCTCCACAGCACATCAAAAGGAAAACAGCAGTGAAGGAACAAGTGATGAAACTGAGAAATAGGGAGAACAGATACATAGAATAACAAGGTGTGTGAAGAACTCAACAAGAGATTCCAGGAGGTTTTCACAATAGAACAAGGAGCAGCCCCTGCACTAAATGAGGAGGCAGCAAACCAAGCAACCTTGGAGGAATTTGAGCTCACCAGTGATGAGGTCAAAAGGAATCTGTTGGAGCTGAATGTGACAAAGGCTGTTGGGGCTGACAGAATCTCACCATGGACACTAAAAGAGGGTTCAGAAGCACTAAGTGTGCCACTCTCTGTGGTGTATAACAGGTCACTGGAAAGCTGGAAGCCAGCTAATGTAGTTCCAATATACAAAAAGGGTGACAGGCAAGAGGCACTGAACTACAGGCTAGTTTCCCTAACTTGTATATCATGCAAGGTGATGGAGAAGATCGTGAGGAAAAGGCTCGTAGAACATCTGGGGGGAAATGGCCTTGTAACACGCCACCAGCATGGGTTCAGAGATGGTAAATCATGCCTAACAGGCTTAATAGAATTCTATGACCAAGCCACAAAAATAAGGCAAGAAAGAGAAGGGTGGACAGACTGCATTTTGTTGGACTGTTGGAAGCCTTTGACCCAGTACCCCATAAAAGGCTGTTACAAAAGTTGGAGCTACAGGCAGGAGTGAAAGGTAAGGTGCTCCAGTAGATAAGGGAGTATCTTTGCAACAAGAAACAGCAAGTAACTGTGAGGGGGAGACATCAAAGTGCTGAGATGTCACCAGCGGAGTCCCACAGGGCTCTGTACTTGAACTCATCCTGTTTCTAATATATGTAAACAATCTTCCAGAGAGCATAGGCTCATACCTCTCAATGTCTGCTGATGATCAAAAGATGGCGCCAAACCGGGAAGGCTATGTAGCACCATCAAATGTGCGGAATAATCAGAGGGTGCTAAATATCGCCCTGCTTTTTCACCCACAGGGTTTTAAATCCATAAAACTACCTACCTTCCAAAGCTGTAAATGCCAAAACTGTTAGGTTTTAAAATCAAAACAACAAAAACCCTGTTTTATTGTTCTTAGACTATGATAATCATGTCACTAGTTATGTGCAGCATATTTTTATTATAGCAATGTTCTACACACATTATTATATGATTTTATCAAATTACACACTATTGAACAATATTACTACAAACAAAAAAATCAGAGACATTGGAATTCAGTAAATAAGTAAAAATATCTTGGCGGTAACTCCTGCCCCACAGCAGGGCTGGAGCACACCTCTGAAGATGACTTCTGTCAACACCCATAAATTCCCAGACTTCTTCACTCCATCACGGCCAAAGTATTTCACGTACAATTTTTTATATTTTTTCGTGATCAGGGAATACACTAACAATATTAAAAGGAAATTTTGTTTAATTAATTTTTTTCCGTACCCCATGGAATTGTTACGGAATAATAGGCACGCAGCCCGAGGGTTGCTCTTTGCTCTCCTCCTTCCAGGTAAGTCCGTTTCTCCATGGTTGGTTAGCTTCAGAGAGCCATCATTCAGCCCCTCTAGAAAACCAGTATTTAATGTAATGAAGCACCTCTCTCTGGTTGGGTCTTGGTGGCTCCCTGGTTTTGCCACCCTGCTTCCAGGTGCATTGGTTGGTGGTCTTAGGCTTTGGACTGAATAGTGTTGACATGGGAGCTGGCAGCTTATGGGGTGCTGCCGCCTAGCAATTGATAGCTGTAACTAGAGGGTTTGAATCAATTTCTGGGTGGATCATTTGTAGAGTTTTTGCTCCTTCATTTCTTTGACTCTGTGAACATTGCAGTTGTCGGTTTTACTTCTTGATGTTTCGTTTGGTGAGGGTGACCACAAAGAATCCCCCTGCTCCCTGTCCCTTTGTGAGGGTGCCAGGTTATGGCTCAGGTCTTTGGTAGGCTATTAAGGACTCCTGGGGCTGATGTGACTTATGTATGTAAAACTATTTCAGTGCAGCTGACTTTTAAGAAGCCACTGAGGTTCAACCAGAAGGAGGCATTTTATTACATTCAACACATAATTTTTATAATGATTTAAGAATACAGTAGTTCTCAGATTTTGGCACCAGGAAATATTGGGTGGCTGGGTGGAGCCTTTTTCTTTTTAATTTGTGTGTGTGCCTTGGTGTCCATCCCATTGAATAAAAAAATGCATCGCAATATGCTGTGCCGAAGATAGTGAGCAAGCATGCATATGCAGTAAGCCGGTTGGTGAATGTTAGGTGTGTGTGCTCACTGTATTGGTGGATGGTTGTGCAGGGGGTAATTAACTTTTCATCCGTCAGGTGTCTTACTGAATAGCAAGAATTTGAAGACAGGTCATCCATCCATAAATATCTAGCACCTCTATTTTGTCTTATTTTTAATAATGACTTTATATTTACTTGTGCACCTATTGGAAATAGATATGGCTTTTATTTCCAGTAGCAATCAAGTTGTTACTAGCTATTAACAATGTGTAGTGTAAATACAAGGAAGAAGTGTCCCAGAAGAATGAGCACTTGAAAGAATTGTTAATATCACATTATGTACTGCTAATTTTGAAAAGCATAAACATCACTGAAAGCCATCCACAAGACCTGCAGTAAAAGGATGGACCAGCTTTTCCAGTGTTGCCTAAAATGTCCTTCATCAACAAATAAACATTGAATTGTATGCATAAATAATCACTAGTAAAGTGAAAAAGAAATCAAGAGCACATTCGTGTATTAACACATTATGAAAAAGTGCACTTGTTGTGTTAATACACGGAAGTGCTCAAATTTTCATTTTATTTTTCCTTGTGGCTACTTACGCATAATTTAATTACATAATTTTGTTGTTTTTCTTCCATTTAATTGTATGTGCATATTTGTTGCATTATGGACAGACTGATCAGTTGGTCCTAGAATAAAATTACCTCTGCAGTTATATCTTAATGAATATAGATGCAGGTAATTGTATTGATTTATTGAATTCCGGTGCACTTTTTTCTTTTTCTAGTCAAGAATCAGATCCCAGTATTCTGGACTTGTTTGTGTAAGGTAAGAAGTGCCTGGTGTCTTGGGTAGGTCTTGTGCAAGGCTTCTGTGGGAGATGCTGCATGTTGTATCATTGTCCATTTGACTTATGTAGAGGCTTTTTAGTGTACTGTATGTATGTACAATTCCTTGATAGTGCAGAGAAATATGATTGAAGTAAAAATTGATTGCCATGACAAAAGCTATTTGTGAAGGCTGAAAATTATAGCAATTATTTCCGATAAAGTATTTGACCGATACCGTATTTAGCTCTTACAGTACTCTTATAGAAAAGGTGCTTTGAAATTGTTCCTTTACTTGTAATTCTGGCATTGGATGCTATCGTGGTTGTGTTAAAGTTGAGATCGTGACTGCTTTTTACTGATAATGAAATACAGTATGGTTTGTAGATGAAATATTATGGATTTTTTGTAGATAAACTATGGCATCAATGCGGTTGCATAGTGCTTTCTTGCTCGTGGGCTGTTGAAGGCTGCTTAGAGACAGTACATGCACAAAAATGTCTGGCTTGTGTGTTTCTGTAAATAGCTGCTATATTAGATTTAGAGGATGCAAAGAAATTTTTATTGTAATTTAATGTCTTTGAAGCCTTATCATGAAATAACGTGTTTATTTTTCAAAGAATAATTAGGATATTACTGTACCATAATTATTTTACTTTTGAAATATAACATTGATTTTTTTTTGCTAGACTAAGAGTTTGAAGTTACTAATCCATACAGTAATATATCATGGTTTTAAATACTGCTACTAGTAATAAGGGTTAGCACATTGCTTTGAAGTTAGAGTAATACTAACTATAATGTTCTATACCACCAATAGCCAGATAGACTCAAGCCTACTGTCTCTACGCAAGTTAGTATCACAGGCTCGGATACGCACCTCAAGCTCGCTCACTTCATGAACAGACCACAACAATGATGCCAGCAGAAAATTCTCAAGACTATCACAGACTGAAATAGTTATATTAGGGTATTAATTTTTTTCTTATTTTTTTTTCCTAACAGCACGGAAATTGTACTTCATTATTTAATCGGCTTGTACGATATTTAAACTGAAAGTATGCGACATTAATGACATTGTTATTAATGAAAGTTGAAAAGAAGAGTTGAAAAGTTGAAAGGAACAGTGCAATAATTTGTCAAATTTAACAGTTGTAAGTTTATAGATGTGCTTACTCTTAAGTTGCTTTGATTTAAATATGTCAAGGTAGAGGAATGTCTATGTGCTACCTGTATGGTGAATATTTTCTTCAATGAGTTTCCAAGCAAATATTAAAATCAAACATCAAATGTTTAGGTGAATTAGCAGTCTTTGTAATATATAGTTTATTCTATATCCCTGATGATCAATGTCTTCCCACGATTCTTCAAAATTAAGGTAGAACTTGAAATTAAAAAAAACAAAATGCAATTAGAGTTCATTAGTCACATTATAAGAGCTTGTGTATTTGGCTTGCGTCTGTGGACGTGATCATTCAGTGTGCCTTATTGTAATACTGTACCGTCGTATGGTCACATATCCCAAGACAAGTTTTTATGATGCATAGGATTATCTAGTCTTGAGGTAAATGTTTGTGAGTGTGCATGCTTGTGTGTGTGTGTACATATATTGTACTCAAATCCTCATCTTGGTAAATGTTTGGAGTCATTAGCTTAATGTTACTGTACAGAATAGCAGGTATAGTTTCATAGACCAAAAGGTATGTGTTGTTTTATGAATTAAGGTTTTGAATATACAAGCTTGTAAATTTTGTTGATTTTATGGTATTAAAACTACTGTAATCATTTATTCTGATATCAAATATTTATATTTTTTCTTTACATTGAAATCCCCCTCAAATGCATTGCAGGGTAAAAAAAAAATTTGAAACGTTCTCTTGTTTGAGACAAAATGCTTGAATACAGGTAGTATTTAGATAGTTATTAGCTCTTTTAATGAAAGTAAATATAATTATTGTGAAGACCTGCCATGGCTTATGATATGTTATGAGTGCATGTGTGTGTGTACATCCCTTATTGTGGTTGTGCAGGATGAGCTATGGCTCTTTCTAGTCTAGCCTCTCAACTTAAGGTTCTCTTGTAATATCATTCATCAATTTTCTTCAGTCGTTACCATTATGATCATTATGATTGCATCGTTGCAGATGTTGTCACAGAAGATCTTACCCCCTCAGGAAAGTCAGTCACATAGTTCAGGAAGAGTTGGGGTCCAAGGGCTGAGCCCTGTGGGACCTCACCTTCAACTTTTCTACCCTGATATTTCTTCTCATTCTTAGCCTTACTGACTTTGGCATTGCTATACTAGTCGTTTTGCTCTAGTGTTAACATGCTTAAAGATACCAAGGAATTGTTTAATATTCTGTAACAGAATATTCCAGGCTTGATGCCTTTTTGATAATTGTTTGATCTACTTTTTGTTTGAGACTACCTTGCTCAGTGCAGTATCTCCCCAGTTATTACAGCTTGCTTTTCCAACCCTTTTATGTGGTACTTTATTAAAAGCATTTTAACAGTCATACCTCTGCTTCTTTTTTCATTGTTTTAAAATTTTAGCATGCTAAAACTGTAGCCATTTTTTTGTATCTCATATTTCCAAGTTCTTGAATCCATTTCATTACATCACTTGACTTTATATTTTTCTTAAGTAACCTTCCCAACAAAATTAAATACCCTATCACATTAAACTAATCATGTTCTTTTATATATTTGTATTAGATGTTGTTCATTCACCAATTAGTTTCACGTTAATCGTTTTTTGGCCTTGAATTTTCAAGTGAAATTTTCAAGTGGCAATTTTAAAATTGTCAAAATTTTCAATTGTCAAGCCTTGAGTTCATCACATCATGTGATGACCTGTAATTATAGTCAATGTTTCACTGTTTTCTAGCCAAGAATGCCCTCATTCCCTCCCATTCTCCTCCTCACTTCTCTCGTGTATATTGCATAAGGTACTTGAATAAGAGGATGCAAGGGTTGCTCGTACCTAGGGAAACCGTGCTCTAGTTCCTGTGCATCTGTCTATATTGGTGAACCTCAGGTGTAGCCTGGTTCATCGCCCTTCATTTTAGCAAGCTCCTGTATTGATTGAGAATGTTCAAGTGCATGCGTGTGTGTATTGTATATTGTTTGTGGGTGCATGTATAGCATATATATATATACTGTATATGTTTCTAATTTACCTGATTTACCTGAAATCATTTAACACCCAGGTATCCATTTACTGCAGGGTGAACAGAGGCTACTGTTAAGGATTAACGCCCAGGCAATCTTCCCTGGCCAGGGTACGAACCCAGGCCAACTCCCTTGCGAAGTGCCGGGCGAATGTGTTACCACTGTGCCATGGAGACTGCTTAATATACAATATTGTAGTTTTTCATCTTGTACATAACATTCACATTTTTGCCATAGAGCCCAACTTTGTCCATCATTCACCAATTTGTTATTTTCTATTCTATGGTGTTGATCTCTGTCCTCATACAGCTCATGCCTGCCTGACATTCCTTGTACACTCCTTAAGACCCGGTCATTTACAGTTGCTCATAGATTGCTACTAATTCTTTTAAGAAAACTAGACTTACCCCCCCCATTCTTATACGACACTTGTCCCTAGATTTTTTGCTCGGTTGAGTGATCCGTTTCTCATATCAGGGATGAGAATAGTATTTAAAATATTTTGACTAAGCTGTGCATCAAAATGCTATAAAGTGATATGGGTTTAGTGTTTACTTTGATAATTCTAAGTCCAGTACTTTATTCATTGCACATATTTGAGTGTGCAGCCAGTATCATTAATTCACAAGACATTGTACACATACTATGTTATTTTGTGGCCTGTTGCATTTATTTCCTGTTGACGAGAAAGAGTGTTAGTGCACACGAAGACTGGTACAGTACATTGCTTGTCTTGCTGAGTGTCCACTGCTGCAAGTCTGCACACACACACACTTCGATACACCTGTACAGTGTTTTATTTTACTTGAATGGATTTTTTGGTAGAGTATTTATAGCACCTCGCACTAGAGATGAAAGCCTAGAGAAGCCATTACTGGAGCTAAGGCTGTGAATGCTAGCCATGAGAGCACTACACTACACGTCATTAGAGAGCTGAATCATTTGGTTATTATGGCATTAGGTCATCTCGGTGGTTTCTGGAATTGGAACAATATGGGTGAAACTTAGAGATAATCTTATGGTGCTAATTGGTGGTGGTGTTTCACATTATCTGTGTTTCTGTTCACTACTGCCATCACTTCTATGTTCTTATGAGCATGGTTTAATTTTAGCACTTCTGGTACTGATCATTTTTCTCATAACAAACCTTACTAATAAATTAGCACACACAATATTATAAAGTATTATAAAGGTATCAATAATTTTCTCGTGCAGAAGCAAATAACCAAAAATGATAACTTTGCTTAAGATGATGGTTCTACTGTGTTTTACAGAAATGTGTGAAGAAGTCGTCATTTTATTGCAGTGAAACAATGATTGTACCATAATGTTTTTGTTATATTGTCTGCATTAGGTACAGTCATACCTTACATTATTATTTAACTTAGAGGTGTCCTGAGGTATTGGTATCTTTGGAATCAGTATGTTTTGTGGCAGAGTTAAATTTCAACTGATATCATGATTCTTTTTTTTATAATTTTATATATAAAACATAGATATTGTTGAACAAGACAGTGTCGGTATCGGTCAAAATATTTGTGTTGATGCACCTCTAATTTGACCATCTTTAATACTCATAAGAATGATTCCAGAAAGTGGAGATATTGTTCTTTTCTGCAATGTTAATAATTTATATTCTCAAAGTACTGTACTAATCGGATTATTTTCAGTTACTACTTATTCTTAGGAATTACATTTGTCTTGAATTTTATTGGGAAAGCAAAATATACAGTGAGTACTAATTTGTTTTAATTAGGGTAGTTGGTGCTATATGTTTAAAGTATTCAATTTAAATTTGTCATTTGATTTCATGCTTCTCATAAATTAAAAAAGTTACAATACTGTAATTATATGTGTGTATTTTCTTTTATCACAGCCACGAGGGACGTATTGGTGAATTTGAAGTAGAGAAATTTAATCTAGTCGAAGAAGTGGTGAGTCTACAAGATCAGCTGTCTGTCCTCAAGACAGAGATGGTTGAAACAACTAGAAAAATGGAGGAGGCTAACGCTGCTGCAGAAGCTGCAGGCATTCTTCGGGCAAAAATCAATCTCCTTGAAACAGAGAAACGTAGACTTGAAAGCAAAATAGTCGATTTGCGGGTTCAAGTAGCATCAACAGAGATCAGCAATAATGATTCAGGTACAGTGCATACGAGAGTTTTAGAACCATAATGATCTAGTTTTGATAATGTGTGTACAAGTTTCATCTACAGTACATAATGCTTTGTTGAGCGGATCATAAACATATATAAAGGCATAGTCCTACTAATCGCTCTCATTCAATTGATACATCTCGCAAAGTTATTACTTGTGCCGTGGTACACTCAATATGCTTGTCAGGAAGACAAGTAATAATAGGAGGTTATATAACTGTCATGTGATTTCAAAATGCAAACCTTAATATTTTGCTTTACAGATAGCTTCATAAAGCAAATAAAGGAAGAAAAGGATCAGTTTGAGGGACAAGTTAATTTCCTGAACACTGTAATTGTAGATATGCAGAGGAAAAACGATGAACTTAGAACCCGCATTGAGATTTTTGAGCTCGGAAATGTATCTGACGACACCAAGGCTAATATGTATGTATATTTTGTATTTTTTTCATTTTTATTTCATAAAATACTAAGAAATTTACACAATTGCTTCACATTTAGTTTAAGTGATCCTGAAATAGAAAATCTTTACATATATAAAGTTTCCAAAGTGATTTAAAAGCTTATTAACACTCTCTCTGGCCCGGTGGGCCACCCGCATCGCACCGGAAGGTAGGCCAAGCATTGCCGATGAGCACACATCCCAATGTTAAACGCTTTCATTCACAATGTTTATACTTAATAATAAGACTTAAGCAAAAATTATTGCATGACGACGTTTGCGTCATCGCCCACTCTGCGAGCTTTGGTTTTATGCCACATAATGCATCATCAGGCCGTGAAAGTGTTAAAAGTGGATTGATGGGCAGACACTCACTTATTTTACCCCCATTTATTGATTATTTTACATCTATGATTAATTTTGTATCCCTAGTAGGGATACCTTATAATTTTTGGCATTTTGTATATTTTTTTTTATAACTGTTATGCTTTTGCTTTCTAAGGTAAGCATTTGCTGAATCATTCTGGTACCACAGGAATCTTTTTTTACATGTCCTTGCATGGTCATTAAGAGTGCATGAAAGACTTGGGAGAAAAGTAAGAGTACAGCCCAGAATGAGTGACAAGTACATTCATAAAGAATCAAAGCCTTATTGAACCCCAACTTGGCATCACAAGTAACCACCTAATGAGGGCTCGTTACACACTTGTTCACTTGTCCGCCAGACCTTCTAGATGAGCAGTTCCCAAACTCTCTTTGATTATTACACTTTTTCATATAGCATCCTTATTAATGGCCCCTACACTCAGTAAAGACCCCCCTCTGGTATCCTCTGGTATCATAACCTGGTCACTGCCCCAACTTATGGCCCCCTACATATTGCAAAAAGACCCCCAGGGGGTCATGGCCCTCAGTTTGGGAACCAGTGTTCTAGACCATGCATAGCTCACATTTCCCAGACCAGGATCACTTCACATTCTGACTGACTGTTTCTCATATCAGTCAACATATTAGTAAAGTGAAATATAAAATACAATCAAGCAAAGCAGAGGAGAAAGAGATAGAGATCATATAGGTGGAAACAAGGGAGTTGAAGGCCTTCTCTGCTGGTAGTCAAGCTTTTCCTTCTGATCCATATTGGGGGGCAGCAGGTCCTTCCTCCTTCCTCAGTGAAGCCAGAGACTTTGGTCTGGAAATGGATTAGGTGGGTTTCTAGATTCTCTGTCCCAGTTTCAGCTCGAGACTTCCAGGGGCTCTTCTTTAGCGCACTTTATTGAGCCGCTGAGGCTTTACCCACATTGTTTGTTCTGCTTCTGTGGGATGTGGTGTCTGGCACACATTATCAGGATATGCATTGTGTTGGGCTGTTTCCAGAATACTGGTTCACACTGATCCTTGTTAAAGCGCTTCATGGCTCTTTAACAAGTGAGTTTTCCCGATTAGTTGTACTAATCAGGAAAACTTTGGATTCCTGTTCATTTGAGTCTTGGACCTAGGAAACCTTGCGTTTGTTGACGCAGGTACTAGGAAGTGAGAGCACGGAGGGTGGAGATTCTGTGCTATGTCAATTACTGTAGTAAAGGGTCTTCTGTGCTTACAGATGCAAGAAATTGGGTCTGCCTCATGAATTGACTGAAGCAAGTTTCCACTCTTGTCATGTCTGATAGTGGCTGCCTACCAGCCTGTGCAGATCTTGTGGTCACTTGAGAATTAATCTCTGTGCCAATCGTAATGTTTTTGTACCCTCATTATTTTGAGGGCACAAAAGTTGCTTTTCAATCCAGCTGAAAAGTTGGATCTATACTCCTCAACAGTTGAACACTTATCCTTTCCTGTTAGTAGCAGCAGAACTTACAACTGCTGTATTCAACAATTATGTTGATTGTTACTGGTGATGCCAACTAGTTTGAGTATTTTAAAAGAGTGGAGTTGACTGCCTAGATTTTTTCTCTGGTGCCTTTATCATAGAGATCAATACCATTTAAAGTAGTGACAAATGTGTGTTTAACTCTGTTTTGAGCTTGTAAAAAGTTCCTTACTAATTTTTGGTCCTCAATTTTTAGTGTGTATGGTTTAATTTATATGGTTTTGTAGTGAATATATGGCTCGGGGTGAGATTTGTAATTTGATATTATGCACTTTGTTAACTTTTTAATATTACAGTTTGACTAATCAGTTTGGTAATGCATGTTTGTACTTTTCTAGCAGAGATCATGCATGTGCTCTCTTGTTTTTTTATTATCATGTAAATTGGTGATCAAAGGAGGAGCATATTTGATCCTTATTTTTTTCAAGTTCACTTGGTGATACAATAATGAATAGGATACACACACACACACACACACACACACACACACACACACACACACACACACACACACACACACACACACACACACACACACACACACACACACACACACACACACTCGCCCTGTGGCAAACCCTGGGGAGGATTGACTGGGAACCACTGCATAACTGTTTGCCTCATGCACAACCAGTTGTAATTAGGGACCTGAGAGTAAAACTGATTGATGGGTTGTGTTTTTGGAGAAAACTTGTAGG